GTAATGGAAAGGTCTAATAATAAATAATATTTCTTGATGCGGAACCCCAAAATCGGTACACTTTTGATTTAGGTACATTGGTGTTCGAGTTGCAATAATAATAACCTATGTAGTTTTGGTCATCGCGTCAGTCGCGTCCGTGACTTTCATCGGCGTACTTGTGAGTTTTCAGAATTTAGAAGGTCAACTTACGTTTTCGTTCTTTCGGGACTTTTGGTTTGTTTTTCATTCTCGTTCTGTTTACCTGTGTATTATGTTTGTGTGCGGTCAGTGCAATGAATTCGTACTCAAATGCCTAATATTACGAGATGATAATGTGTGGCGGTGCTTGTGACGGTAATCTTGCTGCGGCTCGGCGGCGTTATGACGAGCGCCACGTGTCAGGAAGACCTGAAAACCATCGACGTCTTCCTTCTTACCGGTGATTCGCGGCATTTGTAAATTGGTTACATACAACTGGTTCATTCCATAGTGTGCCACAGGCAGGCCGGCCGATCACCTATTCCATCGAGACAGAGGATATGACTTTTACGTCGAGAGTAACACGGTCTGTGTCGAGTCGAATGGAGATGTGCATTTTATGCGGTGGCCGGCATATCGAGACCCTGGACTGATAAAGTGGAGGTGAAGTGTAGGTAATGTTGACAAGTGAAAGCTGAAAGAGTGATTAGAACGCTATAGGTATGTACCTATTTAATCTTAAATTGTTTTAATTACAAGTAAACTCATACGTAGTCGAGTGCGCGCGTCGGCAACATCAAAATGTATTCAAGGAAACGAGAGAGTGAGAGGTAATGAGAGAGAGAGAGAGAGAAAGAGCGAGTGCGCCGGGACGGCACGTATAAGCTTACAGGGTTGTAGCATAGTAATTGAAAACAAATTGTTCAAATATTTGTATGAAAATAACAATTTACATGAAATTGTTTTTTGACCTATCAATTGTGTTCTTTGTGCTAGGTTGTATGGCCATGTTTCGGGATTATACAGGTATTACCAAACACGCTGTATATTATTTTGATTGGAATCAACTTCCAGTTTTTAACACTTAACGAAATTCTTTAAACGGCTTGGTGATCCATAAAACATCAGTGAATCCAGGATTCAAAATAACTTGATAAAAAAACAAAAAATGTTATTCACTTATATTTCAAGCTGCATTTTAGGGCAGACCAGTGAATGTAAAAATTCATTGTAATTAAAAACTACTTATTAGTTTTTGAGGGACACGTCTCTACACGCTCAATAATCGTTTGCATTTATCCAGAAAGCATAATTTTGACAGTTTTCACTCAACTAAAGTTAATCGACCGGAATAAGTGCGTTAACTCCTATCAGTGATGTCAGTGTTAATTCAACTGCCAAGGATACGAACACCAGACGTGGTACAGCCACGTCAGACGTCAATCTGTATCGATGTTTACGTTCACTTCCCGATTTTGGGGAATATATTATACAAGACCTTGATACGTAGTATGAAGAATTATTCAAATTATTTTTTTTTATCTATCTTATTTCGTAAGAGAATTCCATAGAGTCGTGATTGAGGATTCCCCGATATTATATAAAAGATGTAGCTGTAACAGGGGTAAGTAGTAACAAGCACCTACACAAATAAAGAATATTCGTTTGATTTTCAACCCAACCGACTTACTATTTAATACGCAACGTATCAAATATAAGCTCGGTCAGAGTTTCCCGCCGGACAGCGCATGAAGCGGTATTTAGGCACTCCGATTAAGCCAGGTAACGGACTTTTTTGGTTTATACAAATTGATTAGCATAGATTTTCATTTATTTAGTAGTTGTCGATTTATACTAATATATTTAGCATTTGTTTAGTTTCATTATAATTAACTGTAATTTTACATCAATCAAGCGTTTTTTTTAAATACGTTATATCTAAAATCAACACACTAACGGGGCTAGTTGCAACATTTTTACGTAAGACTGTTTTCATATTTTAACAACGTCAATCAAAAGGCTGATTACTTAAGAAATTGAGAATTTTTTACTTAAGTAGTTAAGATTATAAATGGTTAGCTAAAATTCCTAAATAGTTAAGTAAAGAAAGTTGAGTAGTTGTTAATTGAAATAGTACTGCTAGATTTACTAAATACCAAAGAAGTAAGAAACACAAATCCCTTAATAAAACACAGACATTATCATATTATACACCTATCTATTATTTATCTAGTTTTCATCCACAAATTCCAGCAACGACCAATATGCTACTTGCTCGTAGATTGTAGATTCATACTTCAAGACTAGCAGTTGAGCGAGATATCTCTATGGTCGAAGTATATCTGACTGAAGATCGTTCGTGAAAGGTAGCATAACGTTATAATAAATGACAAATCTGTACCTACTAATATTATTGAGAGGAAGGATCTTTTTTTTTTGCATAAATAGGCTCCGAAACTACTGGATCTTTTTTGAAATTGCTGACATAGGCTACAATTTATGCGGGCGGAGCGCGGGCATACGACTAGTATATATATGTATATATATGTGTAAAAAACCTTTACACTCAACCGATTTATTCGACTGTCCAGCGAGTGTACCAACGCATAATTCCGTTGAAACGCACGTCGGATATTACATCAAATATGCACCGACCTTTAATGTGACGACGTTAGTTCATTATATTATGAACGCTTAATTGGTTAAGCACTGTATCTAAATACTATAGTTAATAGCTCACCATCTAATAATTAATGGCTGGTTGATAGGACCGCTCCCTAAAATACGAAAATTATTTCTTAAAAATAGATCTCACTAGCTTTTCCTGCGACTTGGTCTTAATTCTTTGCAGACAGGTTACTTTCTTATTTTAGATTATAACTTTTTTACTCGTACATAGATGGCTTCCCGTGGATTAAAGAATATTCATGACCTGATCAGTATTTCCGAAGATTACCCTCTACAAACAAACTAACAAATTTGTACAATTTGCCTCTTTACCTTTGTCATTATCTCATTTTTATCTAATATTAGCATAGAAATATGTTATTTATAAGATTACTCTTTTACGATCGGCCTTTATTTTGTAGACTTTAGTAAATTCTCGTTACTGTATTATTTGTCAATCTTCAATTTCTAACATAAAATAAAGTCTGAAACCCAATAATTAATTATTAAAAATACTAAATGGTTTATAAATATGAACATTTTTAAAACGACCCCAATGCGTGGTAAACATAAAATGTGTTGTTCATAATTTTCATGATTACTTTTAATTTGTAATATCTTCAGATCCGTAAATGTGGATGTAAATTAAGAAACATTAAAAGCTACTTCCTTGTCTTGAAACTTCTGGATTATTGCCAAGTTTACTAGCTGAATTAGTAACGTGATATTAACGTGTTAGTATTTTATTTTGATGTCACTGTACCGAAGCTATTTCCTACTGAAGATTTTTTACAACCATAATCTTAGGGCCTTAACTCAACGTACACTTCAATAGCGAAGTGACAATTTCTTTGTACAACTCTTTATTTTAAAATTAATTTGGTGCCACGTGCGATCTAAGCAATTTAATTATATTCCTGTATATTACCATGAGTGTATTTTTGTATTTAATTCCTGTATTTACTAAGGTATAAAATAAAATTAATTCTACTTTGTTGTACTGAATTGCTAACAATATCTCATTTAGATTTTACCACAGAATCGATACTCATAGATGTTAAATTACTTCGACTGACGTCTGTAGTTAGCGTAATTATCAATCGAATAGAGCGCCTAAAGACCGACATAGTTACCCCACGCATTACGTTAATAAGCTTAAAAAACCCTCTCTCAGTTAGGCTAGATATTCTTTAAGTATATCGTAGTGTGCCAGCCAAGTACCCTCATCTGGTAGACGTCTTTACCATCAGACTATAAGGTGTACTACTGTTCTGTTTACTATACCTATACATATGTTAATTAAACAAACTTGTTGTAAAATTGTTCCTGAAAGGCAAGAACAAATATTTTGAGCCATTCATTGAGTTCACATTGTACATCTCATTCGTGTCCAGGCAGAAAGTCAGAAGCGACGGGATACTCTTGTATTATATTATGTGAGGATTATATTAATATCAAATAGGAAGCATAACAGGTTATTTTTATTATTTTTTTAGTTAAATAAATATAATTGATCAATACAATCATACAAAAGATGACAGATAGACCAAAAACATTGAACAAGTATACAATGACATGTAGTTCTAGATACAAATTAAATAACACCTATTTATATTTTTCGATTTTCGCATACGAAACCAATGGCAATTCATATAGAATTTGGACAGAGTTACAGACACGATATAAAATAATAATAGAATTAAAGCCACGTCCACGCGAAAATAGTTCGTTCAGTTCAATTATGCGACAGTACGATTCGCGTATTTATACACGTATGATACGTTACGTAGTGGCAATGACATAGAACTGTAGAGAGTTGATGAACACGCCACTTA